CCCAGATCCAAAATACACAATTACCTACCGAAGTTAAAATATTTAGTATGTAAACTATAAATATTTAATATGTAAATTGTATATTTTTTTTACTAGGTCCACCTTATAAGTTGAACTCAGGTCCATGGAATAATTTGCTCAAAGTCATTATTTTTTTTTTGACTTAATTTTTTTTAAAAAAAATTATTATTAAGAACATTAAAACAAAATCAGTCTTCACCAGAATCACAGTTAACTAGAAAATGAATCATTTAGAAAATCTTTGTTGTGTTCACACTTTCTGAAACGGAAGATTCCTTCTTGTTGGTTTGCATATTTAATGCATTTCTGGAACTGCTTAGCTTTATCCCAACTTTAAAATTTCAATCTTTTCTCTCATTCTCTGCAACTCTGCATCAAAAACTTCACTCCCACTGCACTACCCCAAACTCCATAACTGCTCCAAAAATAAAAGAAGAGAGAGAGAGAGAGAGAGAAAGAGAGAGAGAGAGAGAGAGAGAGAGAGAAGGCAATGCCATACTCCGTACAAGAAAAACAAATCCCAGAGGCTTTGGATTCTTGGGTAATCAAAGCGTATCAAGGAAGCTAGTTTTCTGTCTCTGGGAAGAAAATGGCTGGTGGAGATTTTAACGTTCTGTGGGCTCAGTCAATGCCTTTTACCCTTCAAAAGGTGCTTTTTTTTTTTCTCCCCTAATTCTCTCTTTTTTTACACTGTTGATTGCTTTGACAATAATGATGGATGAGTTTGATTTTTCTTGAATTTTAGGGGACAAAGTTTATCCTTTTAACTAAGTGTGTGTGTGTGTTTATATAGATGCATCATATATGTGTGTTGGAGAACTTTTGTGGGTTTCTGGCTTTCTGAGGTTCACTTACTTTTTGCCATGGTTTCTAAAGTTCTTGAGGTCTGTGATTGGGAAATGGTGGTGTGCTGCTGAACTAAGAGTTTGTAAGTGGACAATGCTTGAATTTTCTGAATTGATTCTATGAGAGCTTTGATTCTGGATATAGAATATGGCATTTGGGGTTATGATAAATTTTAGGGATTCAAAACATTTGGTTTAGATGAACTTAGGTGTATAGAATTGCAGAATTATTTGTTTTTCTGTATAAGGAAGATTCTGCTACTTGAACTCAAGATGAAAGGGTAAAACTAGTTTGAAATTTGGCTTAGAGATCTTTCTTTATTTCTATAGATGGAGAGATTTAATTTCACTTTGTAGCAGTGTTTTTCTTGTTTTTTGGAACTAATATGCCTTGAACTAAGATCTGTTAAGGTTATAACGAATTCGCATAATTTAACTGACACTGTGATGTTACTATGTACTGTTTCTTATGATTTCTTAGTGATAAAAAATGTTCAGTGTGATGAGACAGGATGAGCATCAAACATTGGATTTACAAGTGGAAAGTTAGTTCTCGTCTGAGGTTGCAGAAGATGATGAAGTGTATTTGTTCCGGGGAGCAATTCCGATTAGATGAAATAATTCCATCATCGGAGTCCCTAGCAACTCGGGACTATTCAGCTTCAGCTAGCGGGTTTTCTTCACGAGCTGCTGGCGAGGCAGATACAAAGGCAGATGCCAGCAATATAGAAGAGGCCGAATCGTCACTTCGTGAGAGCGGGTTTTTGAATTATGAGGTTAGTACCCTATCTCACGAGTTCTTATGTATCTCTAGATGTTTGATTACCATCACAATTAATAAAAGAATAGTTTCACTCCCATGGACATAGGCACTCTGCCGAACCACATAAATCTTGTCTTTACTTTCTGCCATTATTATTGTTTCTTGTTCTTGTTAATCTCAAGCACATTTCAAATTCAGGAAGCCAGAGCCCTACTAGGACGGCTCGAGTATCAGAAGGGAAACTTAGAGGCTGCACTTCAAGTCTTTGAGGGAATAGATATTGCTGCGGTTATTCCAAAAATTAAGATTTCCCTTGCAAGAAGATCCGAGCCGCCCAGACGTAATTCACAAAGTGATGCCACCCCGCCAATGTCTATGCACGCTGTAAGCTTGCTCGTTGAGGCTATGTTACTCAAAACGAAGTCATTGCAAGCTCTAGGGCGATTCCCAGGTAGTTACTCGCCTTCTTAACTCTCAGGTATGCATTTATTTCCAGTAGTATCCTAAGCTTTCTCCCCGTGTGTCCTAGCAGAAGCTGCTCAGACGTGTAAAACAATATTGGATACCGTTGAATCTGCATTGCCCGATAGTCTGCCTGAAAACGTTGCTAATGATTGCAAATTGTTAGATACTTTAAACAAAGCTGTCGAGTTGCTTCCCGAGCTTTGGAAACATGCCTTTGCTCCCCAAGAAGTGATTTTGGCGTATAGAAGGGCGCTACTTTATAATTGGAATCTCGATGTAGAAATCAGAAGTAAAATGGAAATGGAATTTGCCGAGTTTCTTCTCTACAGTGGTACAGATGCGATTGCTCCAAATCTCCGGTCACAGTCAGAGGGTTCGTTTATACCGATGAACAATATAGAAGAGGCTGTTCTTTTGCTTCTAGTTCTTCTCAAAAGATCGATCCTCAAACCGACGGGACGTGAGCCATCTATCTTGGATCACTTATACTTTGCATTATCGATAGCGGGTGAGCTTCGAGAACTTGCCTGTCATGTCGAAGAGTTGCCCCCGGGTATCGTTGGAGGGAAACAAAAATTCACTACTTTGTCTCTATGTTATTACGGAGAAGGTGACAATGCGGTCTCGTTGAATCTGTTGAGGAACTTGTTGAATAATAGAGAGAACGAGAACTGCATCCTCGAGTTACTATTTGCTTCAAAGATTTGTAAAGAAAACACCAATTGCCTCGCTGAAGGGATACAATATGCTCGAAAAGCGCTTCCCAAACTCGAGGGAAAATGTGACCGGATGGCTAGTGTTGCTAGCTGCTTACTCGGTCTCTCGTTATCTGCTCAATCTCGCATCGTTTCATCGGATTCAATAAGGACCTTGAGACAGTCTGAAGCACTCGAGGCCCTCGAAACTGCCCAAAACTTGACCCGAGGACGGGATCCCAATGTGCTTTTTTATCTGAGTCTGGAGAACGCAGAGCAGAGAAAGTTGGACGCTGCACTTTACTATGCGAAGGAACTGCTAAGGTTGGAGGCTGGGTCGAGTATTAAAGGATGGATTCTTCTCGCTCGGATATTGTCTGCTCAAAAGAGTTACGTAGATGCTGAGAACATAATCAACGCTGCTCTCGACGAAACGGGGAAGTGGGATCAAGGAAAACTACTGCGAACCAAGGCTAAACTGCAAATTGCCCAGGGAAATTTGAAGGGGGCTATAGAAACATACACCCATATTCTTGCCGTTCTTCAAGTTAAAAGAAAAAGCTTTAGAGCTCAGAAAAAGCTAACCCAGGTATGACATTGTTAAGAGTCCACATTGATAAAATAGAGAGAACATATGGGTTTATAAGGCCATAAGTTAGACTAGCTAATTGGTTGGGTTCAATGGTTTAGCTCATGTGCATTATAGCCCAATTAAATGACTCTATCCCAATCTCAGTTTATATAACATGGTATCAAAGCCTGTTCGGTCCATGGGTGGTTGTAATCTTCCTATTCCACTATGTTAGCTTATGCTTTTATCTGCATTTATTTCACTTGTTTCTAGACAGTCAAATAGTGTTCTTGATTCTTTAGCTAGTGGACTTGATCTTTTGCTTCTTATTCTTAATCAACCTCCATGCTCGCTATTTTTCTTATTTTGACCCACAGAAAATGAGCAACACCGATAGAAGTTTAGAAGTGGAAACATGGCATGACTTAGCTAATGTATATACAAACCTGTCACAGTGGCGGGATGCAGAGCTTTGTCTTTCGAAATCACAGGCTATCGCTCCTCATTCTGCTTCGAGATTGCACTGCACAGGTATATTTCACTTCTCCCATGTTCTCGTGCATGTTTTTTACTGCAAGAATGTTGTTCTGTTACCTTGGTGATTTATAGATGTTCTTGCCATTTCTCATATGGAAAGTTCTCTATTACGAGACTTCTTGTTAGTTGTTAATCTGAAGGCGCGTTTCTTGGTTACATTGCTAGGTTTACTCTACCAATCTCGGGGCCAAAACAAGGAAGCTCTGAGATTGTTTGGGAATGCTTTGGACATTGAACCCGACTATGTTCCAAGTCTAGTATCCACCGCCATTGTTCTCAAACAGCTCGGTTGCCAATCAATGCCTGTCGTGAAAAGCTTTTTAACTGAAGCGTTACGCCTTGACAGAACAAACACTTGTGCATGGTACAATCTCGGGTTGTTTTACAAGGATGAAAATGGCGCGTCTGCACTGGAAGCTGCAGAGTGTTTCGAGGCTGCCACTCTTCTCCAAGAATCTGCTCCGGTTGAGCCCTTCAGATGATGCAATTCCCAAACCGCGTTTATGCAGGCATTCAATCGAAACTTTTACAATCCTTGCAGATTATGCATATTATCCTTTCCTTTTTGGCAGTTTTATAGTTCAAAAATAGGACTGTTATACAAGATGTATTTATGTTCTTCATAGATTATAGTAGCTTGAGGAACAAATACTTGGAAGATGCAACTGTGTTCATGTTTTGCTCTATTTTTGTATATAAGAATTATTAAGGTTTCCACCATTTTCTTGAATTCTTGTTGGTACATAAGTTCAACACCAAAACCTGAATGATGTAATTGCATGGAAGGGATTCATCCATCCTTAACCAAAGGTCAAGAGCTCGATCCTTGACTTTGGATATGGAGCAACCTTAAATCTCCAAACCAGCTGTCCCAACCCAAAAAAAGTGCCTACAATTCAGCAAGGGGATTAGTCACTATGTCCGACAGTGAAAACCCTGGGTATACCCAAAAAAGTTCCTTAAACCTCCAGGCCAGCTGTCCCCACCCAAAAGAAGTGCTTACAATTCAGCGAGGAGATTAGTCACTGTATCGGATGGTGAAAACCCTGGGTATACCCAAAAAAGTTAAAAAGACTGAATATCAAATAAATTGCCACTGGAAAAATTTGTAAATTGTATTCAATTGCTTAGGAAATAAGAATTTATGCAAAGGAAAATGAAAGAGCCATCCCATTTGCATTTGGTTCCTATGTCAGGCTGGATTTTGTACAGTAAGTTAGTTCAAACCCAGACTAAAACCAACACACTGCCGCCATATATTCTGTAATGAGTAGAGTGAGGTTAAAATAAAGCATCTAATTTCAGTAGCTACTCCCAAGCATATTACAACTGTGTTCATCCCTCCCAGCCTCTAAGACTGCAGGTGACTGAGAGCAAAACCAATGGAATTCACAAAAATCGCCTACCTGCAAAACTTCTTCAGGTACAGATCGTGCGGGACGTATTCCACGCTCACAATTCGATCGTCAAAGACTCGACCATGTAAACAATGTGCAGCCATGCTTGAAGCTTCTGCTCTTGTATACTCTATTAGAACACAGCCGGGCTCAAAGATATGGTCGAGATTATGATCCGTTTCCTTTATTTCTTTGTCTGCAGGAGGAGCATCCGAATCCTTTTTCAAGGATGATTCCAATTCATCAGAAGAAGCCTCTAACTTCCCGTCGTATTCATTTGATTTAAAATCATTTGCAGCACTCGTACTATCAACTCTATTAATGATTTCCACTTGATCCTTAGCGGCATTGCCAGAAATGACCAGGGAATTTTCACGGGAGTTTAGCTCTGAAACAGAGTCATTACTATGATCAGCCGCTAGTTCAAGGCATTCTGCAGGTTTATCCTGAATAGGATTGTCACCAAGCTTACTGGCATCTCCATCTTCCACAGAACCGTGTGAAGGTTCGGTTATGCCTGCTTTATCATCACATGACCTCTTGCTCGAATGTGCTTTCATGGGCTCTTCATTAGTCTTGAGAGGTGGCAATCTGCCAGCTTCTTCTAACTCAAAATGAGTACTTTCTTGAAATGATTCTACTCGATCAGTCTTGTGATCATTCTTGGTAAGAGTTCCATTGCCTATTGCTTCAACAGTTTCCAATGTGGGGGGGCATTTGCTCTGCTGCTTTGTGACATTAATAGATTTCACAGTACCAAACCTGTGGAATCATCAGCCAAATTATTACTATTTAAGAAAGACGGGAAAAACACAAATGATGGAATAATCTAGAAGATGATTTAGAAATGTGGACCTGGCACATTCTAGCCTAATATCTTCCATCATTTCTTCAAGTTCTTGTTCTGACAATCCCATAGGATCAAACTGTGTATGAGGTAAAAAGCAATACTAATCAAATCAACAAAAAGCTGTCTAATGCTCGCTAAGAAACAGTAGTACAAGAAAAAAAGTAGAGAAGTCTTCAGACAAAAAAGACAGACGACTAAACAAGTATTACCACATTTTTCAGCTTCAGTACTTCCGTGGGACTTTCCAAAAGTGGCTTTGCATGCTCTGGAATCCCATAGTAAGGACGATTCTCAACATTTCCCTAAAGTGTATACATCTTGGTTAATAACAAGGGGATGGGAATGTTAAGTAGGAGAAAAAATCCCAAATTTTTATCTGAAAGTGAGAATTGTGGAAACACAGTACCACAAGTGAAGCATCTGGAATAGCTTGAACAACTGTTAGTACTTTTCCACCCAATTTCATTCCATTAAGACCAGCACAAGCTTTAGCAGTAACTGAATGGTCAACATACTGAAACAGGTAGAATAAAGAGCTCCATCATGAAAGTAAAATAAAGTTTGAGAATGTGAAACAATCAAGGTGCAAAAGGTCTGAACTCTGAAGGAAGCTACTAAACTTTCATTTTAGAAAAGCAACAGAACCATTCTCACAAAAAATTAAGGCGGCTTAAAGGATAGAAATCAAATATTAATCCACTTTCACGCTCGCATTAACAGAAAGTGCTCCTCTAAGCAACCAGGTGAAGATAATGAAAGTAAGGATGCATCCTGTTTTTATATTTGCAAAACAAACTGCAATTATACCCTGGCTTATATTTTTGCATCACTTTTAAAACGCCCTGTCCCCCAGAGTGGGATCATGAACTGAAGAGAAATTCAGAGACTTCGTGTGCATTATCAAACACTTTAATATACCCTCCCTTTCAGCTCATAGAGACTTCTCTAAGTGTGCACTAGCAAATACTTTAATATACCCCCCTTTCAGCTCATACTTATCAAACAAGATAAAGTTTTTCCTTCCACTCCAGGCTTACTTCCCATGTTCCTCCTCTAGAATGATATGTCCTAACTGCAGTTGATTCTTCTAGCCCTGTTCTTAATCCAACATGAAATTTCACCCAAACCACAATAATGGTTATTTATTTATTTGGCTCCTTCTAGCTTAACCTTGTAATATATGCATTCCTATTAAAGGGCGAGCTTTACATGACAATATGACATTGACATCACGACACTACAACACAAATTTGTCCTAATATACTCATATCACCCTTCAACTTTGTGATGTGCTTACTGCAAATCCAGAGCAAGAAGTCCATACTGTCATTTGCAAGGAAATGACAAATTATATCCAGCTCCCACAATAAAACCAATTCTAAATTATCCAACTCTTTCTCAGGTAGCAATCAAGGAGTAAGAAAGTAGAAATAATCAACTATATAAAATTATAAATAAATAAAGAATAAAGATACCTCAAGAAAAGCACATGGTTCATTAAGATCTCCATTCAACACAAAGCGGTATGCTTTCAGATGTCCAAAGGCTTTAGCAATCTCCATAAGCTGTAAAAGCAGCATAAGAACAATGAGATAGGGAAAATTGAAATTACAAATACCATTTACATAACAACTTTTAAATTAACATTAACATTCTGTTACCATTTCAGATGAAATGACTTCTGAGATTCCACCTATAAAAATCTACAATATGAAAGAAAAATTGTTAGAATACATAAAGGATAAAGGGATTACCAAATGGAAAAATGGAGAACCTTCAAAACAATGTTCAACAAACATATTCTAAAGAATACCTTAATAACATCAGGAACATAAGAAGTATCAAGTGTCAAAGGAATAGGCACTTGTTTGGCCTACAGATTACTGGAGCTAGGCCAATCAGGAAATTTTTTCAAAGTCCTTTTTAGAGTAGATAAAAGGCAATGCTAAAGTTTGAGGCTTATTTGAAAAGGTCATTTTTTAGAAGAGGAAGCTGTTAAAAGAACTTTTCCAAAATTACCATCTTACATGCAAAAAGAGTTTTTAAAAATGATTCTTTTCGAAAGATCTTTTAGCCTCTTATCTACTGGGCCAAACATGAACTTAGATTTGAAGAGAAGACAACAAACACTGGAGTTGAGGCTACAGATGAAGTAAGGCATATGCAATGTGCAAAGCCATGTAAGAGATGCAATCTTGGAAGTTTATAATTAGAAGTTTAAGACTTGCAAATACAGGTCATGTAATGTCTCCTATGAATGTAGTTGTTCCCTGACTTTAGGTTTCTGCTGTGATCCAGTTGCTTACAGTCATCCATACCTTCAGAGAGCAACAAATTATATTCAGCAATTATAAAGGCCCATACCTTATGAGGTGAATCCATTACAGCATCACTTATCCTATCAACTGCAGCCACTGAATTTTCTGCAACACCAGTCTGCATGAAAATAGCAACTGTCTGAAAACCTGCTACATAAATAGTAACCACAACAAACCTCAGAACTTGCATATTAGTAAAACACAGAGGTTAACTCCACATGTAAGAGGCTCAAAGCCCTAAATCACAGATCAGACTAATATGTTCAAGTTGAAATCACATAGAAGATGATTAGCATATAAAATCTTGTTTGTGACATTTTAACTATTCAAGTCACTTGAAATTTGAAAAATATTTAAGATGCTTAAAGCATAGCTTAAGTTCATATATAATGGCCCTTGAAAATTGAGATGGACAATAGGAAAACATAAAATAAAGCAAACAACTTGTCTCTATCATCAAGTTCTAAGCAGTCTACATTTGCTTTACCCTCCAGAAAATAGGAACTAGAAAGTAATTGCGGCAAACATTTATACAAGCACTTGAAATCACTAATGAAGAACATCAAATTCTCATTAATCCTATTGAATATAAAAGAATGTAGTTCACAGACAGAAGTTATAAAGACATTGGTTGCCACAATTCTTACTCCCACTTCAACAAAATCTTTAGGACGCCTGATCTTAAGAATTGAGCCACAGAAGGATCTCCCATCAAAGAAAAGTGCAGCAGAAGCATCCTCAGGTGTCAAAAATTCTAGGAGAGCTTGGGCTTTCTCCTTGTGTATCTGCAGCAAATAACAATAGATTGCATCATATCTGCTAATGGTATTATAAACATACAAACAACAGAACAAAATATACATACCATACAGCTAATACAGGGCTGTGTTCCTTGAATACGGTTGACACCTGAGGACAGCAGAAATTTATTGATGCATTCCATAACATCTTTATCAGATGCTGAATTTGGCAAGTTTTCTACATAAAGCGTTCTCATAGGCCGCGTTGCTTGTGTTAGCTGGATTGATTCAACAGCATGCACTAATGGAGGATAACTATTTTGGAAAAACACAGCAGGTTTTGTTGCAAACAGACTGCCAGGAGCCACTACAAATGACTCGAGCGTGCTCAATGATACTGACTGTGAAGAAGATGGCACACTAGAAAGAACAGGAGCAGGAATATTTTTCTCTGTTGCTGCAGGTGGGAGATCCCAGCCTGCAATTCTCCTTTCTGGAGAGCGGCTAGTTGGAGATGGAGTTTTAGCAGCAGCTTCTGATTTCCTCTTTCTTGGTGAATAGCCACCAAGCCCACTTGCTGCCCCTGAATGCCGCTTATAATGACCAGTTTCACCATTGTTGGATATCCTCTTCTTATCAAAATCAGAATTTGATCTTCCAGATTTATCTTTTGCAGAATGTGAGTAGGATTCAGTACGATCTCTGACATCATGTGATGAATGCTTGTGTGCCTTTGGAGAAGGTGAGCGGGACTTTCTATGACTTTCTTTATCACGCTCTTTGCTCCTTGATCGTCTTCTTTTTGGCCTTAAATCTTCATGATGGGATCGCTTTGAATCCTTCTTTTCTGGAAACTCAGAAATTCTTAGTTTTGATGATGAATCATGTTTTTTATCAGCATTCCTGTCCTTAGCTTTCTCTTCATCTTCATGTTGGTGTTTTCTTTTGGTTTCTTTTTTGGATTTTTCTTTGTTTTTGTCTTTATACCTATTTGTACTTGAATAATTTCTTGAATGTCTCTTCTCAGATTCATCCTCAGAAGCATTACTTGGCAATTCATCATTTGTTCTCTTCCTGTACACCTGTCTGCTGTCCTTATCATGATGTTTTTCTTTTCTTTCCTTCTCATATATTTTACTACCTTTGTCAGTCAATATGTCCTTCCTGGCCAAATCATTTACATGTCTGTTACCATGTTTATTTTTGGAACCATCATTAGACTTATCATCCTTTCTCCTCCCACCATGAGGAGCTCTATCCATTTTATATCCACTTATATTCTTGCCACTTGTATCATTGCTAACTGCCTCCTCCCGTTTGGTTTCTGGCTCTCTAATTTCTTTTTTCTTGAACCTTGCAACTTTCCTTGCCTTATCATCACCTTCTTCCCTTCTGGAAGTTAACTGAGAATCCTTTGAATTATGCCTCACACTACTTGGTATGGAAACATCACAATACCTGTCAGATCCCAAACTATCAAAAGTCCTGTTGACAGAGTTTTCTTTATCTAATACAACAGCAGCACCTACAGAACTATCCTTGATTTCCTCAATATCTTTCTTGTTTTTCCGTCTAAGCATAATTTCAGCACATGTGAAAGGTCTTGTCCTAGCTGAAGTTCCCTCCTCGCTTTTGCTCTGAGAAGATGCATTATTGCTTGCATTCATCTCTTTTCCCAAACTGGATCTGCCCACAACTCTCAGTTTAAACAATCGGAATTAAAAGCTTCCAATATCTTAATCCAGTTGTACAACATTTAAAATGAAACAACTCCAGAAGAACTCCATACGGTAGTGATGGCAGAAGCTAAAACTCCACTAAAACTCTTTCGTAGAAATAAATAGCTGCATCCAAGAAAAAAGATACAAGTTTGCTATAGTCATCAACTTATTGATAACTGATAAGTCAAAACAAGTGAGCATCAGTTCTAAAGTAATATTTAACTTCATATGTAATAAGATTTCAAAGCAATAAGCACTGTGATCCAGCATTAGAAAGTTGGAATTAACACGCTTAAGTGATCTATTTTCCAATCATCTACTACTGCAAAAAAAGATCCTTCTACATTCTACAGAGCAAATTTCCATTGCCAACTAAGAAATACTAAATCCAGGGCATGACAACCCAATAAAAGCAGCACTACAATGTCTCACTTTTGGTAAATAAAAAGATTCTTACTGTTTTTGCCATTACTAAATCCAGTGCATGTTAACAATTTCTTGAAGCATAAATTCCCACAAGTACATTTAGCTGAAAGAAAATCCAAATAATTTTCAGCCTCTGCTTCCCAATTTTCAATAAAAGTTTCGTGTCGACAATTTCATAGAAACAAGGATTTTTAGTACTGTTAGTGCCACTTGAAAAACACAAGTACGCAACAATTCAATTACTCTCTTCACCAATCTGAGCCAGTTTTACTTTTCATTCAGTTGTTTTCTCAATTAACTTTCTAGTTAGCCTTGTTCGGAAGAAATTCGTCGCCCCCTTTTTCCTCCTCCTCTTCACGAAACTGCTTCCAAAAACATTTAAAAACAAAAAAAAAAAAACAAAAAAAAAAAACAAAAATAATAATTTCAGCGCCACCACAGTCTCCTAAACTGCCTCACAACCATACCTTTCGGTTTGACTGCAACATGGCTCCGCTATTGCCGAACACTCAAGCCTAGTAAAGGCAGCGAGCTCTCACATCTCCCTCCATTAAAAATGAACTAGGAAAAAATAAATTAAATAAACTCAAAAATTACCGGAGAAAATAGTTGCGTCTCCTTCAATCTTCTTCGTGAGCCTTATTTTGTTCCACCATTCAGAAGCGCAGAAAGAAAGGCAATATTTTGAGGCGGAGAGAGAGAAGAAACGACGGCCGGAGGTGAGAACTGGAATCAACTGAGATTAATGAATTAGGGCTTTCTATTTTGCTTTTACCATTTGGGAAGTTAAAATGACTAGAATAGGCTTCTTTTCTCTCAAATCTCGCACTTGATAAGTAATTTTACAATCTATAAAATTGCAGGGCTCTGAGAGGGCACGATGTGAAAAGAAAAAAGATAAGCGTGCAATGGTAAATTCATATGCAAAATGTTCAAAGTAAAACCAAGAAAGGAAACGATTCTACTTAAAAAATTTAAAAATTTAAAAACAAAAAATAATAATAATGTAGTAACTAAAATACCCCATTTCTATAATGTGATTTTACAATTTATAAAATTGAATGTAAACATTCTACAATTACTGTAACGGGACAAGTAGCTTGTATCTTAATAACATCTTTGCGACTTTCCCAAATGTGAAGTCATACGTTTGAAATGACAACAACAACAACAAAAAAAAAAAAAAAAAAAAACAAAAGAATATATTACCAAGCTTGGATGCATAATCAGGGTAGACCACACCACCAACCTGGTTTCGAGGGGCAAATTAGTGAGAATTTGCGTGGAGATTGACATCACCAAGTCACTCATCTCAAAGTTCAAGCTGCAGGACAGGATTTGGAGCGTTGTCTACGAAGGTATCCATTTAGTTTGCTTCTCGTGTGGGATGTATGAGCATATGCAGGAGTCTTGCACAGCGTTACGCAAGGGCGATGTGAAGGATCTGCCTGAACAACACGATGACGAAGAAGGCTGTGATCAACGAAGGATTGTAGGTACTGCAACTGGTAGCATGGCTGTCAAGGGGGCTAATAGCTTCAAGGAACCTTATGGTCCTTGGATGATAGCGACACGGAGGTAACGAAAAGCAAGTTGCTAGGTTCACGGGCCAATGGCGGTCGATAAAGAACGATGGACAAAGGGGAATCTCTGGCAACGGCAGGACTGGAACTGGAGTATCTTGGTCCAGGTTTGCAGCTTTAGGAAATGACGAAATGCTGGATGGCCATACAGAGGAAGAGATCAATGCGGAGCTGGCATCGGGGTGACGGTGACCAATCTAAAGGAGGACGTAACGAGCATTCTCGCCATAGTCCACCGCCGGTCAATGTAGGACGACGTTCCAGACAGCCTAATGTTATTGCAAATGAGAAACAAATATTTTAAATTTTGGGTGACATGTTAAAAACATGTAAATTGGACTAATTGTATGAAATTGATTAGTTTAGGGACCCAATTGCATATTTTTTTGAGTTCAATGATTTAGGGTCCGTTTGGAAAGCAGGAAAATGACTTTTGGAAAATGAGTCATTTTCCGAAAAATATTTTCCTTTCTAGTGTTTGGTTGTATTCTGGAAAACTGTCTTGATGTGTTTGGTTCGTTTTCTGGAAAATGAGTAAAATTATTTTTAATTTTAAATATTTAGAATAATAATAATTTTATTATTATTATTATTATTATTATTATTATTATTATTATTATTATTATTATTATTATTATTATTATTATTATTATTAAACTCCATAAGTAAGGTTGCTACAGTTTGGGCCACAAATTTAAAGATTAATTTCTAGATTTTTATCATGTTCTCTTCCACTGCTGCAAAGTGCAAACCCATTCATCCCCAATTTTCGGTGGCTTCCACTACCTTTCATGGCGGCAACCACCATATTCTCTTGTATCAATTCCATGGTTGGTCGGCTAGGCAATTGGGCACAAAGCACTGTCAGTCAAGAAGGACGAGCTTCTTCAGAAGCTCAACGATGCGAAAAGCAGCGAGGAGGTTTTCGGCTGTGGGTTTTCGTCCCCACAACCGGAAACCATCTCCGGTGGCTGAGATCCGCCAGATCTGCCATCGGAGAGAAAAAATCAAAACAGAAAAAAAAAAAAGAAAAAAAAAAGAAACATATTTTGGTGGTGGTGAACGGCGACGAGATGATGACGATAAGATGAAGAAGAACCAACTAGTGTAGCAAGAAAGAAGATGGGAGTGCAGATGTGGTGTGGCAGCGTGGTGTTGGTAGAGAGCAGATGTGAGGCCTGGAAAATGACTTCCCCTCAAAAAAGGGGGAAGTCATTTTCCTGAAAAATAGCCTTATTTTCCATTGACCAAGAGAACATTTTTCATTGACTTTTGATTTTCCTTCTTGCCAAACACTAGAAACCCGGAAAATGATTTTCAGAAATCATTTTCCGGGTTTCCAAACACACCCTTAATTGCATTTTGGTGTGTAGTTTGATGGCATATTTGACCCTTATTCATTTATTTTACAATGAAAATTAAAATTCTCACTTTTGAGGGAACAAATTTCAAAGCTCAACATTGGTATTTTGTTTTTGGCAAAGTTTTTCTTGCTCAACAATTTTATCCCCATAGAACTTTTTAAATTACCCTTATTAACATGATTGACTGTGTAAGGACATATTGATCTGTATCCATTATTCCTTACATTTTCAAACATAACCAAACAATATAATCTAGTTATTTCTTGATGTACAATTACAAGATAGGAGGTATGAAACAGTGTTTTTTGGACTAGGATCCACGTTACACTGCATGTTTAAGTGGAATCACGATATAACAATTGTTATTATTATTTTTATTGATTATTAGATAATTGAAAATGTGAAGATTAGTCGAAGAAAAGTGCAATGTTTAGGCCCATTTGGCAATTAGCATTTGCATCACAAGCCCACTGCAAGGAAGTATATAAACTAAAAAGTCCATCCAGGCATGCATCAATAGTTATGCTGTGCAACCGAATGTACCATGCGCATGGTGCATACGGTTCAAAATGACGTCGTTTTGATTAAAAACGCGCGTCCCACTTTTAAAAAAAAAAAATCAGGTTCGACTCTCAGCAATAGCATTATTGTGGATATATAGTTATGAAATTGTGGATATATAGTTATGAAATTGTGGTTATATAGTTATGAATTTATGGATATTTAGTTCATTCATTGTGGATATTTAGTTCAATCATATATTGTGGATATTTAGTTCATTCATTGTGGATTTTTACTTCATTCATTCATTCATTGTGGATTTTTACTTCATTCATTCATTCATTGTGGATTTTTCGTTCATTCATTCACTGTGGATATATAGTTATGAAATTATGGATATATAGTTATGAAATTGTGGTTATATAGTTATGAATTTATGGATATTTAGTTCATTCATTGTGGATATTTAGTTCAATCATATATTGTGGATATTTACCAGGACTATGTGGTCTAATGGTACCCGGGTTGGACTTCCATTTGGAAGATTATAAGTTCGAGCCTCAATGGAGGCGTTATTGGTTCTTTGTGTTTCAGTAGGTTGAGAAAGTATATGAACAGATACTACAATGTAATAGAGCCAGTAACTTTCAAAAAAAAAAATATATATATATATATTGTGGATATTTGCAACCGTATGCACCTTGCAAGGTGCATTCGGTTGCACAGCATAATTTGCGGGCATGCATAGCGTCCCATTTGTTCATTCCCAGACGAATATATACTCCGTATGAATTAGAACTGCAGAAAACAATAGAGTGGAGATGCGGGGGATCGAACCCCGTGCCTCTCGCATGCAAAGCGAGCGCTCTACCATTTGAGCTACATCCCCATGTTGAATATTTGGTTAATTAAAATAAGTAAATATTCTTACTTGTGCAAGTGGAATATTTTAGGAATTACTTTACCGCCTTCCAAATTTTGTCTTCATTCCCTTGTGCATATTCCAACAGATAAAAATAGACTTTTTGCTTTTGTACTACATGTTCCCATCATGCATGACGCCCGCATAACTCATTATTTAAACTATATATATATATACTATACTATATGCCTTCTTTTTCAAAGATATGGTAATTTTCTATAAGAGATGACACACAGGAAAATGACAGTTTTAAGTGATAAATTTTACAATGCACATTTTTTTTTTTTGAGAAAGTAGTGTTATATCGTTTTTAAAAGGTTGTATCATAGAAATAGGTTTCATTTTTTTTTTGAATTTTTTTAATTAATCAAAAATTTCTAAAAAAGTTTTCAACTTTTTTCTTTAATTTTAAAAAATAGATACATATTTTTTGGGTCAAAAATGTCTTCTTCTTTTTTAGGGGAAAATAAAGATTATTGCATTAATAATCAACCATCGACAAAATACAGGTTGGTGGAATAGAAAACCACGAACCTAAGGCAAATATAAAACCAGTAGCCCTCACAAGCATATGAACAGCCCTAAAAAGACCATGCACAGTAAATTTAATCAAGAGAATATTAACAATAATAGAACTTATAATAATTATATAAAAGAATTATGTTTCACTTGACTACTATTTTTGTTATTTTGTGGACATTTACTCATCATTATCCAACAATTAAAATGAAATGATATGGACGTCATTTTCTTGCGGTGGATGCCCCAGTGGCATGAAAGCCGATCCCAACACTCGCTGAATTGTGAGGTTGCATTATATTTACATACATACGTTTCTTCCGACAATCAATAAATGACGAAACAAAAGTTATAAATATTTTTTGTCATTATGTCTTACCCGTGCAGTGTTTGGTATGCATCACATCAGTATTCATATTTTTGCCCACAAAAAGTAAAATCTATTGTATAAAAACCATCACACATAAATTAAAATTATAGCTTATTAAGTGGAGATTATAATAAATGTTTAGTGTTCACAAAGAGTCATTATCATAAAAGGTGAGCCACTACACCCCACTGCTGGAAATTATGAAATTTCTGACCACTTGAAAGTGATCTTAAATCAAGTCGAAAGCCTTGTTCCGACCACTTTTGGTATCCGGAAAAACCTTTGTTGCAATTTCCGACCACTTTTTACTTTCAACTTGATTTAAGATCACTTTCAGGTGGTCAAAAATTCCATAATTTTCAGCAATGATATTATAACGGTACTACGTCATTGTTTATAATTTGTAAGTCACTCAAAAATCAATTAAACTTTCTGTGCTGACTTGGTGCTCATATTTTTGTCACTTATATACTGATAATTTATTTCTAATAACTGATT